AGTGTACTAGGGAGACACAGACCTGGGCAGCCTCTGCTGGGCCCGCTCCTCCAGATCAACCTACTGAATGTTTCACTGCTAGGGTGCACCGCCAGGTGCAGGGACCTGATTTGGGCTAGCCTACTGGATCTTAGTCCGCGGCATCACCAGGCTAAGTGCTCCCCACCACTCCCGCTTGAGAGGGGAATATGCGACTAAAGTCACTGCAGGGCCCTGTTCTGTCTAGTCTGCTCATTCCCAGAATGTCCTCTGTTGGAGCCTCCTAGTCTAGGAAAGGGTCCCAATTCCTCTCACTCACCGCAGGTCGATGCAGGGCTCCCTGCGAGTCCCGCTCTCAATGCCATTTGGTTCACTGAATGCGCTCTCAGAGCTTTCGCGCATCTCTCTCCCTGCCGTTCGGATTGGGACACAGTATCGGCAGCAGGAAATTCAAATTGTGGCTTCCAATGGCGCGGGCTCCAGCTTCTGTACTGAGATTGTATCTGTTCCTGTTATAGCATCAGGATTGCATTTCCAGTTGGTTTCTCTCAGCTCACTTCGTTCCTGGGTCAGCAGGGTACATCTCCCCTCACGTAGGACTCCTCACACGGTACCGCTCCTGGATTCTAAACTGGTAATCTCAGAGCCTCCATGGCTGCTGTTATTTGTCCACAATGTTCTCCCGGAAATCTGAAAAAGTTTTCTTATAGCTTTCATGACAATGTCATTTTCTTAATGAAGGCAAAACCTCCTGGGAATCTGGTCTTCTGTGCCACTCAAATCCTTCATTATTATTTTCTCCACCGTGGCCTTTGCAGTCGCCTGTCCTCACACATCGCCTGTCTTCGCACGCAGGATTCTATCCAGCTTTTATTATATCTATTTGAGGAAGTGTTTTACTACTTTTATCCCCAGGGGTTTCCCTCATTCCTATCCTTCTATTGCAACATCACCAGTATTTGGGGTTACAGGCCTACACCATAGTGACAAGTTTCTCTTTCTCTTTTCTGTCATTTCTTTCTGCTGTTCAGCCATGTTAACTTGTGTGCTTACTGACTGACTGACCATCACAGTGTGTTGTAGGGCTGTTGGCAGCATTAAGCAGGTGGTGTGCATAAGAGTGTTCGGTAGGAGGATGTGAACAAAGTGGCTTGTTGTTTTCATGAGTATCATTGCTCTTCTTTCCACAGTTAAGAGAATTCAAACAACAGAAGAAGCGTGATTGCTTTCTGGTGGATAAAAGAGTAAGTTTTTAAGATGCATAAAACCTAAGACAGCCAGTGGTGGAGAACGTCACCCACATGAAGCTGTGTCATGGCTGGCCAGGCAGCTAAGGATGGGGCTGCAATGGCAGTAGAGGGTCAGAGTGCAGATGAGAAAAACGTCAGGTGCTAAGAATTCTGCATTTGGGGCTGGGCCTGTTATAGCTCAGTGGGAGAGTTTCAAAGAGAGCACTGCAGCTTGGGCCAGAGAAGGGAAAGGGGGACTAGGGTGATAGAAGGGTCTGAGGTCACTAGTCCCTCCCTCCATCTACTGTCCCCTGTGCCTTGGGTAGGTGCATGAGGTAGAGGAGGAGCGGGACAGGAGGGCTGATAAGCCTCCTGTCCAGCGGAGTGAACTGGAGAAACACGTGGGTGAGTGGGCACAAGGGTGATCTGGGGAGAGCGGGGTACCCAGGCTGTGGGTGGGGCTTACACTGCCCTAGGAGACAGGGTGGACTCAAGGGCACAGCGGTAAAGGGAAGGGCATCTGTGGCAGGAGCTGGCAATTTAGTCCTAACTCTGAGCCTCAGTGTCCCCACTTGCAGAGAGGGTATTGTGCCCCTGCCAGCCCCCACCCAGGATCCATACAGGAACATGGCTTCAGGCCTGGCCATGATGTGGGTGTGAGGAATCAGTCATGAGGAAGCCAAGGCCCAAGCAAGGAGCCTGGAGTGGGGGCTGAGCCCTGAGAGCTTGTTCAGGGCCCAGAGACCTGGACCCTTTCCCTACCTCCTTTGTCACCTGTGCCCCAGCCCTGCAGCCCCAAGCAGGGCCATGCCTGGAACATCAGCAGCTCCTGTGGGAGGTGCAGAAGGTGAAGAAGGAGCTGGAGGGCGCCTTGGGGCAGCTAAAGGAAGAAAACCTGGCTCTGCGGAACAAAATGAGGGAGCAGGAGGAGCGCCTTCTGCAGGTTGACACCAGGGCAGAGCTGTGCTCTGTGCAGGCAGAAGAGCACAAGAACATCGTGCACAACATGGAGGAGCAGCAGAAGATGATTGATGCCTTAGGGCTTCAGAACTGCCTGATAAAGGAGCAGCTGGCACAGATGCAGGACAGCTTCCAGAGGCTGGTGCGTGTTCACTGCTCACCAGGCTCCTCACCACCAGGACCTTCCAGGCAGAGCAGCACACTAACCCCTCTGGCTCCTTCCCCCCTGCAACACATTGGGCCACTGTCCCCCTCAGTCGTGAAAGTGTCCTGTGAGTCAGAACCCTGTGGGGCTTCTCCTGCAGAGAGAGGATGATTATCTGTCCTACCTTGCACTGTAGACACCCAGGTGGGGTCTCAGGTCGGCCCGTGCTGGTGGCACTGATTACCATTCTCTGTAGAGAGAAGAGAACACCAATATAGTGACCACCCTGAGCTCAGAGCAGCTCAGACACAAGGAGCTGACTTGGAAGCTGGGCCAGCTGCAGGAGGAGATCACCCAGCTCAAGGCAGTGGTAGGTGACTCCTGCCCCATGGGACTGGGCTAGGACAGAGGTGCTCCCGATGGGGGTGGCAAGTGCTGGGGCCAGAACTGATCTCCCACAGCTGGACCACAAGTGACTCCAGAGTCCTGCAGTGTCTGGCAGAGCAGTTATGTGTCTTTTGCTTTTGGTCTCTGACTGTTAGAGATGTGTGGCTCTGGGGTCCTCCCAGGTCCTGATGTCATTTCCCTGCCAGAAGCCTGAGTCATCCTACTGCTAGGAGGAAACAGGCTTGGAGGGGGAGGCTCCTTGGTGCAAACTGAAGCCTAGAGATCACTTAACACATGTGGCATGGCTCCATCTGATTCTCCATAGATGTGGTGAGGTCCACATTCAAGAACAGAGGTTGTAGGACTGGAAACTTGGAACAGGAGGCCAGTGGTTCAAAAGAGCCCCTACAGAGCTCAGGCTGCTGAAGCCCCAGGGTATGCCTGACCTCACTTCTCGGTCTCCTGCAGGTGGCGCTGAAGAGCCAGGAGGCCCAGGAGCTGCAGCAGCAGAGAGACCAGCTGCTGGGCATCCTCTGCCACAGAGCTGAGGACTGTTTACACCTGGCCTCTGAAAAACACGCTCTGCAACATCAGCTTCTACAGTCGTTTAAACAAGCGGTGAATGTACATCTGAAAGACCTGGAAGACCACAAGGCCCTGGTTAGGTTTTACAAAGACCTGAAGACCACCCAGGTGATGGAGGTGCTGAGGCCGGGCCCCTGTCTGGGAGGATCTGGCTGCCTCTGATGTCTCACTTTCCATCCTTACCTACAGGAGGTCCTGTCAGCTTCCAAGCTGCAGAAGCAGCAGACATCCTCGCCTGGAGTTGTGGCACTGCCCGGGGAAGGTGAATGGAGGTGTCAGTGTTGCATGGGCTGAGGAGCACTCTGAGAATGAGTGGAGGAGGATGAGATGGCAGAGGGCTGCTCATTCTCTCCCAGAGGGTGGTGGCCCAGGGTGACCTGGTGAGGTCGGTGGAGGGGAGCCTGGACTGCTCTGTCTCCCTCCTGACTGCTCCCAATATGAAATGAAGGGGAGGTGGAGGAAAGAAAACTGGAGAGTCCTCAGCCCAACAGCACCAGTCCTGAAGACGTGAGAGGCTCAAAGGCTGCGGTGAGCTGGGCTCTGCTTTGATCCTTCCCTGGGTCTCCTTCCCTCCTTCTCTTCCATTGAGGTCCCTTTGGACACCCCAATACTTTGGATTCCCCATGCCTTCATTTCCCTGGACCTTCTCTGAAAGCAGTGGTTGTGCCCCATCACTAGGAGCAACAGGTGCCAGTGGCAGAAGGAGGCTCCATGCATCCTGTGATGTGGAGAGCTCCCCCACAGAATCACACCCTGCCTCCACAGATGGCATTTGTCAACAAAGGTCCCTCTTCTGTGCAGAAACAGTGGGCTCAGCCACTCAGCCACCTGAAGGTTCAGAGGCAGCTAGGCCAGAGTTTGGCTTATGTGGCACTCCTGACCCAGGTCAAAGCTGAGGATGTGGCTTCAACTCCTAGGAGCAGTGGTGACCATGTGACCATGGTGCAGCCTCAGGGGAGGCTGTTCCACCAGGGTGGGAAGGGCAGGCAGGGGAGGTGGCCACAGAGCCCTGACTCTGGTGCTCTGCTTCCTTTCTTGTACAGGTGTCACAGGAAAAGGCAGAGATTAAGGAGCCCGTGGAGGAGCTGGAATGTCAACGCATGCTGCTCTCTGGTGATTGCAGCACCACTGATAAGCTGGGCCAGGGCTCCTGCAGCAGAGGCTGTAAGGTGCGGGGTTTGGGAGGCCTGCAAGTCACCTCTATTGTTCTCCTTTGCACAGCAGAGCACACTGCGATCTGCCCCAAACAGGGGACAAACCTAACAGTGAGGCATTGTGAGGAGGAGGACACACAACAGGAGGAGGAGGAAGAACAAGTGAAGGAGGAGGAGGAGCAGAAGGAAGAGGAGGAGGAGGAGGTGGAAGGAGTGGAGGAGGAGGGGAATGAACAAGTGGAGGAAGATGGACAAGAGAAGGAGGAGGACAAACGAATGGAGGATGACAAGAAGGAGCAGGAGAAGCACGAGGAGGAGAAGGAGGAGGTGGACAAACACGTAGAGGAGGAAGAGGAGCAGAAGAAGCAGGAGAATGAGGAGGAGGATGGAGTGGAGGAGGAGGACAAAGGAGAGGAGGATGAGGAGTACTGGAACCAGGAGGAGGAGGAGGAGGTTGAACTAGTGGGAGTGGAGGAGAAGGAAGAAGGAGAGGAAAAGGAGGAGGAGGAGCTGGAAGGGGAGGAGGAAGTGGAAATGGAGGAGGAGGAGCAAGAGGAGGAGCCAGAGGTGGAGGAGGAGGAGAACAAGGAGCAGGAGGAGGAGGAAGAGCAGCAGGAGGAGGATGAACATACCCCACAGCTATTCTCCGTGAAGGGAGAGGAGCAGGTAGGTCTGGGTGTCTCCTTAGGGCTGGGTCCCTAAGAAGCCCCTCTCCCTGAGGGTAAAGCTGCTTGTGTTGCAGGAGGTGGTTCTCTGCCCGCAAGAAGACTGCAGGTCCTGTCAGGGCGAGTTTCAGGGCACTGCACAGAGCCATGGTGAGGAGCCCACTGTGGGATCCCCACACTCCAAGGATGTTGCAGCCTCAGATGAGCAGTGTGGTGAGTGCAGGCCTGGGAGGGGCGGGCAGGGGCAGGCATGGCAAGGGGCGCACACTCAGTGCCTGCTGCTCTCTCCCAAAGATCCTGCAGAGGGGAGCCCCGCACACACTGAACAGCCTCCAGTTGAAGAGGCTGTGGTCAAGTGCCCCCCAGAGCCCCAGCTGCTTGAGAATGAGAATCTGCACAGGGCCCTGGCTTGGGCCTTCACCCCTGAGTCAGTGATTTCTGCTTTGGAACAGCACTGAGGAGTAGGAAAACATAGAACCAATGCTCTGTGCCCTCTTTTCCCCATTCAGTCCCTGCTTCCCTGTCCCTCCTCTCCTGACCCTCTTCCTGTCATGTCTAGAGGAGCCACAAAAACTCCACGAATTTATTTCTTCCTAAAGATATTTGAACTCCAACAATTCCTTAAAATGTCAAACAATGTACATTTATTTCAATAAAAATGAAAAAAAAACCCGAGAAAAATATTTCAATAAAAAATTTAAAAGTTTTAAAATTTTAAATCTTTTTCACAGAGTAAAACAAGACAAATAATGAAACTGAGTTTCAAAACAGGTTAGTAGGAGCGTGACAATACTTGAAATCCTGCATGCTGTCGTCTTTGTAGTAGTTATTTGGAATACGGGATGTAGGCATGCTATTGCATCTAAACAATATTAGCACAAGACATTGTTTTCAAGGAACCAATAGAAGCTAGCTGTGCAATTATCTTCACTATAATTTTTTCTTCTCTTTTTTCTTTTCCCTATCACAGTTTGAATTTTAAAACTTATTTATGGTTCTGAAGGACAGAGGGAGGAGACAGGATGGGTTCCTGGTGACCTGGTCCTGTTGGTCCCATTTATGCTGATTTTCATTTGACTGGGAATAAATGGATTCTATCAGTTTCCTGGCAAGGATCAGATGAGGGGCAGGGAGCAGATGCTGCCCACAGAGGGCATGCGTTGGGCTGCGGCAGAGCCCATGTTTGAGCTGGTCCAGCAGGGCTGGATGACATCTCCCTGCCTTGTCACCTGCATCCTGCTAGGCTGTGGTGAGGGGGCTGCCGTGGAGGCTCCCAGGGCAGCCTGTTCTAATGGGCCTCAGGCCGGAGCCTGACCTGACAGTGGGGAGGGACAGGTTCAGGGGCCCGCCCTGCCCTGCAGTGCAGCATTTCCAATTGATGCCCTGGTTGTGGCTCTGTCTGCACATGGGGCCTGTTCCTTCTATTTAGCTTGGCCTCTTGCTGGCTGCTGCCCCTCTTCCTTGAGGTTCAGTTTGTGGCCCTGCTCCTTGGTGGTAAGAATGGTGGTTTTTGTTTTTTGATAGGAATACTCTATGGGACTTCAGTAACCCTGGAACTCCTAGGCCATGTCAATTTGACTCTTAAGTGAGGAACTGAATTCATCCTCATGAGATAGACATGAAACTCTGGGAACAAGGTGCGGGGTGTAGTACCTTTTAACCTGAAATGTCCCTCGGAATCTGTGTGTGGAAGTTGGTTGGGTGGGAAAGGAAGCATACTCTGCAGAGGACCTGTCCACTGCTGAGGTCAGGGAGTAGATGTGCTCTTAGGGTGTGAGGCTGCTGGGAAGGGTGTTGCTGGCCACCGTGGCCTGAGCACCTTTCCCTTGGCCATGTCCCTCTTCCCTCCTGTTTCTGCCTTGCAGCCAGTCCACCAGAGACTAGAACTGTGAGCCCAAAGAAACCCCTCCGCCTCTAAACTGCAGGTGTGAAGTATTTTGTCTCAGAGATGGAAAGTAAGAAGACATGAAGGTTTCAGGACATGTGCAAAATGCAGACAAGTTCTTTCTGACCAGAATGTAGCATGCACAGGAGGTTCCCATTTGAAACCTCCTGAGACTTGGCTTCACTCTCTGCAGTGTGTCAGCAATCTGGCCGTCTGAACTCCCATCAGAAACACCCATTAGACTTAGCTTATGGCATTGCAGGGCTTCTCTAGCACACAGCTGTTAACATCCCCAAATCCCTTCCTCAAGACTGTTCCAAATGCACTGAACAGCATGGACTCATGCAGTCACTGACTGGACTCCACTTCTTTAGTCCCAGTTCTTTGTATTTGCTCACTGGATCCAGTACCTGGCACCCACAATTGAAGGAGGACAGTTTTCTGTGGCCCACAGTTTCAAGAAACTCAGTCCATGTTTGGCTGGCTCTACAGCAGATACATCATGGCAGAAGGGCAAAGCTGCTTGCTTCATGGCAGCTGGGAGGCGGAGCAGATTGATTTTTCCTGAGAAGATGGGGCCATGTGTCTGATATAGCACCCCGTGTTACACTTCAAGGACACATCAGGAGGTGTGCTTTCCTAAGCTGCCTGTCAATTCTAAAGTTAATGCAATCCATCTTTAGTGCCACAGTAAAGTTCCAGTGGGGTTCTTATTAGAAACAACACAACTTAGGACACAGATGAAATGACAAATGTTTATAGAACTAAGTTCGTTCATCAGCTTACCATTAGTACTGAGCAATGTCTTCCAAAATCAAAATGAAGTTCATGTTTCTGGTAAGAAAAAGTCAAAACATGTGACAGCACCAGCCTTCCCTACATAGTGGATTCAAGCGAGTCCTATGTTCACAGGAAAATCAACTCCAAAATGGAAAATGTGTTAGTGTTGGGGCTGTAGCTAAGCTTAATGGTAGGGTTAGTGTTAGAGTAAATATTCCTGATTAGTTTTTGTGGGCTGATTTTGGTTGAGCAGTTGAGACCAAATTTGGATGAGACCTCAAATATACATTTCAGTTAACGTTATTGATTTGCTCTATCTTGAAGGAAAATTATCAAAATAATCAAACTAACTTCTCAAAATCTGCAAGCACTTTCAGACTTTATTATGAAGCTCATTACTTTTCTGAAAGGTCCTGATGCTGTGCTGTGAGGACTGGGATCCCTGCACTAATGACACAGTGCATGCATGAGAGCTAGAGCCGCCCATGGGGTCAGAGCACCAGGGAAGCTGAATCCACGCCCGCTCAGCGACGGGAGACAGGGCAAAGCTGCATCCTTGCACCCCTGAGGTCCACTGAAATGCCCTCTGCTGCTTCCTGGGAGGGTCTGAGCTCCTCCATCAGTGCAGCTAACATGTTTCCATGACACCGCTTCTCTGAAGGGCAAGAGGGACACCAAGACTGCAGCCCTGAGCACACATTCAACAAAACCCTTGATGAGAAAGGAACTGAAAGTTTGCTACCTTTTGAAGGCTAGGTTGTCTGTACAATCACCAAAATTAACTTTATATTGACTATTTTCCAATTTCACTATTAAAAACTCAATCTCTCCCTACCTACAAGGTTAGGGTGTGCTTTGGAGGGCCTGCTGGGATTATTTTTCTCTGATTCAGGGAAAACAACCTCAAAAAGAAAGAAAACACACTGGGTTTCAGACTTGGCTCAGGCTGCCATGAACCTGTGCCTGGATGCCCGCCCTTTTCCACCCTCTGGAGACAGAACCCTCTCCCAAGACAAGAACAGGGCATTATCACATCCACCCAGTAACTGCTGTTCATCGATCTGGTATTCATTCTACATCCTATGATTAAAACTTCAGGTAAATCAAAGCTTTCTAATTCCATAAGTGAAGCAATGAGTTCATAGGGCAGTAGGATAACATTCCATGCTTTTTTGATTTAACATTTGCTTACTATTGTCTGGAGAAATAGAAGAACTTTAAAGGAAGAGCAAAGACACCCAGTGAGTCTACTTGCTTCTCAAGTCCCTTCTCCCCAGACACCACTATCAAGGAGACTGTGCTATGGGAGTGAGCGCTCTGCTTGGGTGGGGACAGCCAGGGCCCAGGGCCCTGAGCACCAGCACAAACTCACAGCAATGCCAGGGAGGACATGGGACTTCCCAGAGCCGCTGCTCTGGTTGAAGAACAGGAGGACGGGAGCAGCTGAGCTCAGGCTGAGCTCTCTCCACTGCAGTGAGGCTCAGCCGGTCAGCGCCTCTGTCATCTTCTGCCTCCCTTGTCCACCTGTCTTCCATCCCCACCCAAACCACCACCCACTGTCATCTTGAGACCCAAGGCAAGGGCTCCACCTACCTCGCCTGGTGACCAGGGAGGATCAGGGTGGTTCCACTCATAAACTCACCCCACAGAAGTCAGACTGAGTCTGTTTCCACCATTGAGCAGCCATGAGCACCGCCAGGCAGAGCTCCAGCATCATGCAGACCAGCATCAAAAGCATGGTGTCCTACAATGCAGGGTGGTGGAATCAGCCATGGCTTCCCACCTAGGTAAAGGTGACTCCACCATCAGAGAAGGAGCAAGGCCTTGGGGAGGAAGAGTGCTCCTCCCGCCCCAGTGGTTGGCTTGTTCTGCCCCTTTCTTTGTGAGCTCCCTTGAGAGGAAGACAGGATGAGGGGTCAACTCACTTGTGCACACAGTACACACTGGAGCCTTCCCCTTTGAGACCTGGCTGAAACTGCCCGTATTGTTCACTCAGTCCGGGGCAGCGGGTGCAAAACCTTCCAGTACCCACAGTCAATAGCTCCCATTCTGGCCTCAGTTTTGCTCCTCTGTGTGAACCTGGCCAGGGGTCCAAATTACTCCGGCTTCTGTTTGCTTTGTTATCAAACACAGATGGTAGCATTTGCTTCTCTGGATGTGTTTTCTAGCCTTTCCCATGACACTATGAGGTAGGAAAAATCATACAAAGTAGTAAACTTTCTCCATTTCTATAACTCAGGGACTCAAAAGAGACTCAAGGCCTGGGGCACAGGGACTCCCACATCTGTCCTGAGGCTCAGTGTGCATCATGAGGGCCAAGGACAGGAAAGGGAGGCTGTATGTCACAGTTTCACGCCCAGTTCACAGACACAGCGAGGAGCAGCATAACCTGTGTGTGTTACCACACCTACCCTGGCAAGCACACCTGACTCAGTCTCATAAAATATTCCACCATGCATTCTTATTTCTGCACCACACACATCGTCTTGTCCTTCCAGAATGGTACCAAGGCCGCAGTTGTCTGCGCCACGTGTATGTGTGTGCCAACCCCATGACACCTGTTAGCATGTACTTTCCTCAGAAGTGTGTTGTAACTTAGGAGAGGAAGGTGGGGCCAGTTTCTTCAGGAGTGGGGTGCCAGGGAGTGTGAGGCCAGGGCTTTCTCCCTGGCCTTCCCCTCACAGAGCCCGTGGCTCATCTCACTCGGACAGCTGCAGGAAAGTAAAAGTGCTGCGTCCTCTTTATTGGCTTGTCTTCTGCTTCTTTCCCAGTGCAGCGCTGGCCATGCACACGCTCTGTGATGTTCCAGCTGCAGATGGCATTTCTGAGTCTCTAACTTCGTTGCTTACCTTCATCCAGTAGTCAATGTCCCTTCAGTCTCTACCAGCTCACATTCTCCACAGCCACACGCTTCTTACTGCTAATGTAACAAACACCATCTCTCAGCTGCAGCGAAAGCCAGCATGAGCACTGCATTCCCTCATGTCCGGTGCTGTCTAACA